ATACACAGAACTACAAAGGAAACAAGTTATAGTGAAATATAGTTATCAAAACAATTTGGGGGGGGGGAACATTCACAGACCTCAGGTCAAGAATCCCTGATCTAGACAAATAATTTTTTTCTCTTTGCCTCTTGAACTGGAGGCAAATCATAAGAGTGCTAGGAGTAAAAAAAAAAAAATCAGAAAGGAAATCAATCCAAGAAAGTAACCAAGTCTTAGCTTCATGCTATTGCAAAGCACAAGTGGGTAAATAGCCAACACACTGCATGATCTAAATGAAGTTAGGTACCAGAGATCTCTAGAGAATCGTGTGTGTCCTATAGCTGGAATAAAGTGGAACCAGAGAAGCAATAATAATCATAGGCCAAGACCAACCATGAGAGGTATTTGTTTAAGGGAGCCAGATCTTAAAAGAAGCAAAAGTATAAATAAATACTTTATTATTTGTGCTAACAAATCTCTTATATCAGCATGGCATAATGGATAGTGGATTAGACTCATGGTTCGGAAGACTTCTGTTCAAATCCTAGTGCTAACATATACTAGCTAACCTCTCAGTGCCCCAGGCAACTCTGTAAAACCCTGACTACAGCTGAGTTATGGATCTGGAATGGTAAACAAAATTTTCACACATTGGGAGTTCCCCACTCACTGACTAAATGAATTTGGATCAGAATAAAAAGGATTTATACCAAACTATGAACAGTTTGAAGAGGTCACAGAATAATAGAATTTGAGAGTTGGAATGGATCTGGGTAGCCATTTAGCCCAACCTATTCATTAAAGAAACTCACCTGTAATATATCCAGCAAGTGGTCAGCCAGTTTCCGACTGAAGACTTCAAAGGAGGAAGAACTGACCGATTCCTGAGACAGCCCATTCTAATTATCAGGAAATTTTTCATCCATTCCCCTTACTTCTGCCCTCTTGGAACAAACAGAAAAAATCTAGTCCCTCTTCCCTATGATAATCATTCAAATACTAAAGATAGCCAGCACATCACTTTGCTCCTCACCCCCACCCCAGAGTCTTCTCTTCTCTGGGCTAAACATGTCTAGTTCTCTCATCCAAGTCTCATATAACATGGACTCAAGGCCTGTCACCATCCTGGCTGTCCTCTTCTGGACACTAATCAACACAATTCTTAAAGGATGGTACCTAAAACTAAACACATGTTAAATGTTCATAATCTGCACTGGTATGAAAAGTAACCATGCCACTGAGATTCAACTATCCATTGAAGTATGCTCATAAATATAACTATCAAGCTTTTTGTACATCTTGGACAAGTTACTTCACCTCTCTTGGACTCGATTTCCTCATCAGTAAACTAAGAAGACTGGACTAGATTCCAGCTTTAGAACTCTGAAATTATGGAGTTAAGGGCCATCTCTAGAAATCATCTGCTACAGGTGTGATCCTATGGCCACAGAAGAATTAAAAGCAATTCTGGGGACTCCAGCTGTTTTGTTAACCAGTACTGCTCCAATTACAGAAACACATGCAGACTCTATTTAAATGGTCTCAAAGGGACACAGATATCAACACCTCAGCACCAACAAGAGCTGGAAAGAAAATGAAAAGATGAAGAAAGACCCTTTCAGAACTTTTAAATCACTGCAGTCTTGGAAATGCATAATCTGATTTGTTTCTGTAGGGAAACTGTACTTATAAAACAGATGTACATGTTTGTATTACCAACGCAGAGTGGGGCTGGGAAAACTTAACAGGAGTTTCCTCTTTCTTTCTCCTCCTTGTTTTAGTCAGGGCCCATATGCCTCTCTATTGTGCACACTATTTCCAATGACATCAAATGACATCAGAGCAAAGGCAGAGTGTGGCACTCTGTGTCATACACATAAACTTTTTGTAAAGGTTATATAAAGATCCTGGTATTCAGGACTGGCAGATCTGAGCCTAAGAAATAACAAAATGTTTAGAATTAAAATTTAATAAAAAGAATGTCAAAATCAATCTACAGAAGCAAAGGCTATGTAGGTTTTAAAATAGGAAGTCGACTATATTTGCAGATTGTCTCCTTTTTTCAGCAACCTGGATTTAATTGGAGGTGAGGGCCAGTCCTTGTCAGAGTCACAGACTGCAATGAATTCTTCACTTAAAGTTAATAAACTGTTATTTTGATTGCACTGGACCAAAAACTATTTTAACAAAACTTCTAACTATTGGAACTGCTGAGGTATAGCCCTCATATGCTTAACAGCAGCCCTCTTTGTCATCACACTGCTAGGAGCAAGCATTTTTTTTTCCTTGCCAACACTGTACTTCTGTGTCTATTTCCAGCCCCCATAAATCACACTCTATTGTTACCAGGGAACTAGGAACTCATACTTAATAAGGCATCAGTTTCTTTTCCCCATTTTATTTAAGAGGGTGGAGTACTGTAGGGAGGTAAAGAAATTCTAAATTTCATCTAAAGTAAAAACAAATTATTACACAGAAAATGGGTTTTTAAAAAAAGCTCCAGGTAAACAATGTCCATCCGGGGTTAACTCTTGGGCTAAAGTATTTAATTACAATCTTGGACTCAGGGACAGAGTCTGACCTAAGCACATGATATGACTTTAGCCTTCATGATGTTTGACATCAAGAGTGCTACAACAGCAAGATTCAAATGGTAAAGTTAGAGCTTTAGTGTCCAGCTTCATTTTTCCTAATTCCAAGGGACTTTGAAATTTAACATTTGGCATTAATAGATTGAGCATAGTGCAATCTATATCCTTTACAAGATCTAACACACAGCGTCACTGTTCATAACTAGGTTTTATTTGAACACAGCTTCTTCAATGGTCCTGACACAAAACTCTTTGCCTTGATAGAGAAACTTGCTATATTCTTCTAGGCACAACTTTTGCTAGAATGGCTATTCCCAATGTCCAATGATTGATCACTGAGTCTTACAGCTTGGTGATTATCTGGTACAACTTCCTCATTTTGCAGATGAAGCCACTGAAGCCAGGGTAATAGATCAGATAGATTCACAGTGGAAAGTCTGTCAAACATAGGACTGACTCGTGCACTATAGGTCATAGAATACTAATATGCAAGACATCTGACCAGGGCACAGAATCATTGTGGTGGCCAAAAAGCTGTAATGTAATAAAAAACACATTACACAAAGTAATATGATCCTGGAAATATGAATCTCTTGGAAATCTGAAATAAAGATCTTGCAAACCAGAAAACCCAGATTATAATCTGTTGCTTTATTATATGCTGAATGAACAAGATTGTTTAAGCCAAATTGATTGTATAACTCAACTCCCTTATACGACTAGATGTTTCCTAGGACACCGATGCTACAATTTGCTTGAGGTTTGCAAACCATTCCTGGTCTGAGACAGACCAAACATATTAGGAAACTGCAGGTACCTGCCTACCAGAGTTTTAAGAACAGTTTGTAGAATGATTTCCAGTCTGTCTCCAAGTGGAAGAAAGTGTCATGGATCTCAAGAGAATCTCTTATGGCCCTTTTGATGGAATACAGTATGACCACAGGAAAAATAACAAGGGAAAAAACTATATCATGCTACGGGCCCGGCCACTCCCTAAGTTTTCCTCAATGCTGGTTCTATATTATTTCCCAGACTAGTCCAGTACACACAGACACACACACACACACACACACACACACTCCGCTTTCCAATGCTTCAGGGTTGGAAAGCAAGGCACTAGAATAATATAAAGGGCCAGGAATAGAGAGTGCTTACACTGAGCTGAATATGTTGATCTTTTGCCAGCGAAGAGGCAGTAATACTTTACCATCCGGTTTCCCAAAAACAAGGTACTAAGAAGAAAAATTCATGCAGATACTAGTGATAGGGAGTAAGAGCTTATCAGACTTTATACGATATGATGTATGTAAAATCCTTTACAAACATTAAGCTGAACATGATATAAATGTCAATTTTTTGTTATTGTTGTTATTATTGTTATTATCAACGTGTGCCAGTGTCATGCAGAATACCTAAGGAAGTTATTTCTAATGTGGCAAGAGCCTACCTTAATGGTACCCTTACAAAAGCAAGCACCATTATCCTCCCCTTCTTTCCCCTTCCCCTCTACTGATTCCAGTCTCCAAGGAAAAGGCAGTTTGACTCCCAGAGAGGCCACATTATAAATGTAAGAAACTAAACAGAATAAAAAAGCCTTGAAAGTAGAGCTTTATGCAGGCTTATTGTGCAAATAATTTCCTAAACTAGTTATGGGGTACAGGAAAAAATGTGTAAGGAGTAGGTAGGAGAATTCAGCTGGGTCTCAGGCATTCCTAAATGGGGCAAAGCCTCAGTCTGGTTACAGACTTACTTGGAAGATAACTAACAGGTCTCTCTCCCTTCCAGCTAGTCATCCCAGGCACTAACTAGCTCATCTTTTTTCTTTAGAGCCATCCAAGAGAAAATCTACCCCCTGGAAACCTATTATCACAATCCTAGCAATCAGGAAATTATTTTACCTCTTAACAAATTCTATCTGTATCTTGGGTACCTACAGGTGTGACTACTCTCTGGTGCAGGACGCTGGAATGCTCCCAGCAACTAAAAGGAGAGAGCTCCCACGTCCTTTTGTACTTGAACAGGAAAAGTACCTGCAGCAGCCTCTGTTTCATCCCTCTCCTCCCAACAGTGAACTTGGAACATGGAACCTGCATTCAAATAGTTATTCCACCTTAGTACCGGGCCCATTTATGCTGCTTTTACCCGTCTGTACCTATCTTTGCCTAAAATTTTCGTCGTCAATTGGGAGTTTGTGTTCTTTCCAATTTCTGCCTTACTCCAGGCAACCAACAAAACATCTGGAATCCCTTCTAAGCAGATGTGCCTGGTATCCCTAGCCAAGAGGACTCCCAATCTCAGTGGACTTGGCATCTAGGCTGGTGCGCCAACTCCTCCCAACCCCCAGCGTCCTCACACCACCACCGCTGACTCTTAACCGCCCCCCCACCAACCCCAGTCTATTCCGCGGCCCCGCCCACCCTCTTTTACCGCTGGTATCCTCGAAGCGAGGGGGAGGGGTGTCTCGCAAAGTCTGGGTCCAGCCTCCACGCTCTTCCTCATCCTCCTCATCCATGGGCCCGGGGAGCTGATGCTGTTGCAGTTGCCTCTGCCCACCAGTCGCAGCTCCTGCCCTCGGGACGCGGTGCCCTCCTCCTCCCTGAAAACAGCAGACGCCTCCCCCGCGGGCGGGTCCCTCGGCTGCTGTCTCTACCTCCCGGGCCAGGGGCTGCGGCGGCGGCGGCGGCGGCGGGGCGGCGGCAGAGGAGGAGGAGATGGAGGAAGTGGTGGGTTCGTCTTCGTCCTCGGAAGAGGCGGCGGAGGAGGAGCGCGAGTCGGCCGAGGTGCTGTAGAAGGGGTTCCCGCTGCTGTCCTGGCCCGACTCGCCGAACACGTCGTCCGAGATCTGCAGGCTCTCGTAGCGGGAGCGGGCAGCTTCCAGCAGGGAGAGCGCTTTCTTCCTCGGTCCCCCAACGCCGCCGCCGCCACCCCCGCCGCCGCCGCACTCCGCCATCATCTTCGCTGCACCCCACTGTCTCCCCTGCCCTCCCGCCCCCCAAAACACCTCCCAACCACAGACCCCCCTCCTCTCCCGGCTCCCCGGGCTGTCTCTCCCCACCAGTTCAAGCCACAGCAAAGCGCCCTCCCCTTCCCCACCCTCGGCCGGTCCGCCGTCTTTGCCCGGCTTTGGCCCAGCTCCAGGTTAAAAAAAAAAATTTTTTTTTAAAGGCACGGGCGGCGGCGGGCCGGGGCAGCTGAAATGGCAAGCTCTGTTCAGGGGTCAGTGAACCACTTAGGAAGCGAAGAGAGACAGGTGCTGCAGCTGCTACCCTGCTGCAGCCACTTCAAGGGCTGTTGTTGCTGTTACTGTTTCTCCTCCTCCGGGGAGCTCTTCCTGACTCCTTCCCTGCTTGCCAGCCTTCTTGCCCGCTTGCTTGCTTGTCTGCTGCTTCCCCTCCAAGCTGCACCCCCTCCCCTCTGTTCCTCTCTCCACTGCCAACCCTACGGACTCCCTCCTTGTGTGTGCGGCCGAGAGGGCGGATTTCGCCTCGCACCTCCAAATCCCCCGTTTGGCCAATGGGAATTGCTTACCCAGAAGGAGAGGGGAGGGATTAGGAGGGCCCAGGCGCAGAAGACACCTCCTCCATCTCCTTCTCAGCCTAAGAGGCGGGGCAAATGAAGTCAAGGCTTGTCAGGAAGGAGGAGGTCTGGCGGGTGTAGGGCCCCCCCTCTCCATAAAGGCAGGCTCAGATATCCAGCAAGGGACCTGGTCAGAGAGTGTGTGTGTGTGTGTGTGTGTGTGTGTGTGTGTGTGTGTGTGTGTGTAAAGGCGTTGGTTTGTTCCTGATAACTGAGCCAACTGGGAGGAAAGAGATGGCCTTCAACCTTCTTCCTAAATCAGTGCCTGGGCACCAGGGAACTGTCCACCTTTGGTGGTTCTGAATTAGAGCAGGCAAGGAAAACCTTATACGGCTACACAGGCAGCCTTGGGAAAAAATGGGGGGGGGGGGCGCCAGCAGCAGCAATAAAGTTAGAACTGATTGCTATTGGTACTATTTTCTGTGGCAATATTGAAGTAGATTGAAACCGTATGTTTCTATAAATAAAAGGATGGTGTGGTTCATTAAAATAATTAAAAGTAGGAGTTAGTTTTGACAAACCATTTCTATGGGTCAGATGCCAGCTCAATCCCCATATTTAAGGATGGTTGCAAGACCAGTAGAGTACAACTATTTCTTCATCATCTCCCACAGTTGACATGTATTTGGAACTAAAAATATAGATTCTCCCCTCACACATACTTCTCTATTAATGTATCAGATAATAAAGAAAAGGAAAATATATATCATATAACATCCAGACTATAGCAAGCAGATTAAACAACAGAAAAAAAAACATTTCGCATTCCTGTCCTGCATCGTATGAATACGACAGTCATCTTGCTGATGACAAGCTGTTTGATTCTTTGCCCCCACCAATAAATGTTTCAATCAGCCACATTAATGATTATTCCCGTTGGGAAGTCACTTTCACTTTGCAATAAAATAAAACTTCCACAAAGAAACCTTGCTGAGTTTAAAATATGATATACAAAAGGAAAAGGCATGTTGCTACTTGGAGAGGTGAAGAAAGAATAGAGGTTTGCTGGCATTACTGCTAACAACTAATATTTCTCTTACTGATGTTCACCTTCCTCTCATATCACCCTTTCCCCTAACAGCCTACTTCTCTCCCCCAATATTCGCAAGCTATAATGACCTGGAAAGGTCTTCATTATAAAAATTTAAAAAGAAATTCTATGTCATGTAATATTACTTGCTATATGGATTTGGTCATAAATGAAATGATGTCTGCTAAACATTTAGAGTTCCTTGGAAGGAGTGTGCTGGAAAATAGGGCTTGTCTGTAGCACAGAGTAAGAACCATATAAAAACAAACAGTAAGCTGTGTAGCAGAATGGGAATTCCCATTATGGATATTGTATAAATCTACCCTATATCAAGACTTTACTGTAGCCATTGGATTAACTGAGTCCCTGCCTAAAACCATGACAATTAGTTCATACATTTTGAAGAGGGCACTAGTCTGCAGGAAAATGAATGTTACAAAGGATAACTTTGAACTCTGTGCTTGGAGGAACATTGTATAACCAAAAACACAGTGACTGAAAACTAGGTCCTCACTACATGGACAAACATGATTAAGGATTATATGAGTCTCTGGGAAGGTTTTTATGCTCAATCCAAAATAACTGTATGGAGATTAAGATACTGGAGTCTTTAGGAAATAATCCAGTATTCTCAAAGGCAGCTTGCTGTGGAAAAAATAAGCAGATAAGGCATGTGTTTTAAAATAATTGTTTCTACTGTTAACCACAGAATGTCCAATATAAACAAAAATGTTTATATTAGTGGGTGTATTATTTTATGATTATTAGTATGCATTCATGTTTTGTCAATCCCCAAACAAACTGAATACTCTTCTGGTCCGTTGGCATATGCCTGTAGCTCACAGAACATTTAAAGAGAGGATTAAAAAGTAACAGAAGAAATAGGCAGTAAAATCTTATTTGCTTCTGGAGGACCCGTAAATCAGAATAAGATCACCTAGACTATCTCGTCCAAGAATGAAGCATTTGGATGATAATTGGTCTTAGAAGAAACACACAGCCCTAGGGATTGGTTCAACATAATGTAAACATATCTCGACCTTTAAAGAGAGAGTTTCTCCCTTTAGGTAGATGGGAATGGGAAAAAGAGGAATGTTTCTCCATTTAAAAATATTCCCCATCTCCCCAGGATTCTCCTACTTAATCCTACACTTCTTAATGCTGTTTTAGTATTTATAAATGTTAATACTTGCTTTGATGATTATAGAATAATATCACAATGCAATCTACCAACTTTTATCCTTTTAAAAATAAGGCTCATATAATCATATATTTATTTAATTCTCTTCAAAATGATGATAGAATAACACTTAGTTTCTTTAATAGCACATTTCTATACAAAGAACTCAGTGAATAAAGCCAATTGATTTCTGTTGTAGACTAGCTGTTTTCATCAAACCAAGGCTTTATTATTTTATATAATCGTTTCATTATTTCTTCATATTAGTACTTCCTAAGTCCTCATTTTTCATACACTATCATGCTGTGGGAATCAGAACTAAGCAAAGCTTTAAGGCTAGGGGTGGGGTGGGGGCAGTTCTAGCCAATCCCAGACTTAAAGGTCAGGATAAAGGTATGAGACATGTTTGCTTGTTACTAGGACACTGTGAGAAAGACAGGAAATTGGAGAAAGAGGGCAGGGTGTAAGTTGTGGTTCCTTAGCAAGTACTCTTGCTTTCTTTCCATGGTTCCCCTGACACCTCATTGGAGGTGGAAGCAATCACAGAAGATGTTTGAGGATGGGTGGGTAGGAATGGTTGGAGTAGGAGACATATATGTGTGTATAGATGAAGCTTGTATTACATCTAGAAACCCATATCCAGAACCTGCACTAAGCCAGTAGCTATCATTTAGTCCTTTCTTCAGAACAGAAGCCTGCCCACCTTATATAAATCACTAGGGACAATATAACATTTTTCTCCTCTCTCTCCTCCCCCCATCTGAAGTTTGCCCTAGCAATTTATTAAACTGTGTTCTAAGTCATGAAGTGATTGTGATTTGTATTGATGGAAGCAATACGCAAGGATGAAATCTCCCATTCTTGAGATACTGGAGTGAACTCAGACATAGGTAAAATGGGGGAAAAGAAAAGAAAATAATATGGCAAAACAAGATGGTTAAAGCTTGGGTACAAGGTTGGCTTACATGAACAATTATGTTGGGACCCTGTGTGGTCTCATGTGCCATTCTATTTCTTTTTCCTCCTTTCTTTCTTCAACAATAGATCCCAGGAGCCATCCTTTGATTGAGAGTTGAGGATTAGGTAGTGTTAAGTTTTTGTGGACCACAGATATAAACCTTTTGGTACACCATGCTAGAAATAGCATGGGTAAAGATTGATGTGTATTTTCCATTACTAAAATAGTTTAAGGTATGGTGTAGTAGAACAAACTGACTCCGGAGGCAGAGAACCTTCCTTCAGATCCTGACTACCACTAATTCTGTGCATTTCTGGGCAATTTTCTCAGGAGCTTATGTAGTCTCTTACCTGAGTCTCTCTGTTTCTTTTTCACTTTTCTTCATTTCCTCATCTGTAAAAATAAGGGTGCTAGATTAGACAATTTATAAGGTCCCTTCCCACTCTAAGTTTAGGTTCCTAAAGGTTGCAAGAAAGCCATTAGAAATGAGTTAACCTCTCCTTGGCACCTACACTTTGGACAGCCACCACCAGGTAGACAGTGTTTGTGTTCAATGAGTAGGCATTCTTCAGATGGGGAGAACTGGGAAGCAGGAATATAGCACTAAACTATCTACTTATTTGTCATTTTCAAATATATATGTATATATATTTGTTAAGAAAATAGCACATATGTCATAACTCACTTATTGTTACTACTAGAAACACATTTTTATAACATCTCAAGGTTTATGAAGTGCTTTCCTTGCAACAAACCTATGAAGTAGAGAGTGCAAATGTTATAACCCCCAATTCTATAGCTAGAGGCAGCATGGCATACTGAATCTGGCTTAAAACTTGGTCTCCTGTCCAACCTCTGATACATACTGGCTGAGTGACCCTGGACAAGTCACTTCATCTCAGAGTGATCTAGGCAATTCTCCAATACTAGAAGGTGCTGACTTGCATTGGTAGAGGGAGTTTTCTTATTTAAGCATTCACTATGTAAGTGACATCCCTGGTCCATGTTCCACATCTTTCTATAAATAAAGAAGTTGAGATTCAGAAGCACTAAAGGATTTGCCCAAGGTCATCACTACTGATCACAATTATGAGCCAGTATTTGAATTCAGGTCTCCAAATATAGCTCATTTTCCACTATAATATGTTGCATACCAAAAGTTAAAAGAAATGCAAACTTCTAAGTACAAATTAGATATTTTGATACTTG